TTAAAAAAAAAAAAAAAAAAAAAGGAAAAAGAAAAAGAAATAAAGAAATAAAGAAAATATTCAAAATTGGAATTGCAGGACCCTACAGATTCCCTTGCCCGTTAGCTACAGAACACAAAAAGCTTACTGAAAGAAAGCGATTCAAATTAGAGTGAAGGAGAAGAGAGTTGAGATCAGAGCAGAGAGCAGCCCAACTATCCACTGCCTAAAGGGGTTTTGAAGAACTCAACTTCGCAGATTTCGAACTGTGGTTGGTGAATCAATGTGGTGTCTCGAAGAAGAGACTATTCTGGGAAGCTGAGACGTGGCGGTGATTGGGGAGGAGTGTTACCGCCATTACCGCCATGGTTGCACATGGACGAGCACAATCGGTGTTGTTTGAAGCTGAAAGACGAAGCTCAATTTCCTCTGTTCCGAGCCCTCAAACGAACCCTAACTTGCCGGGGAAAAAGAGGACACCGCGTTGGTCTGATGTGTGGTTGAAGGACACCAAGTCGCTTGAGAACGTTATTGTTGCTATGCAACTTCAATCCTCGTGTAAAGACTCTCAGATTCCCACACCCAACTCCAAAATCAACCCCATCTTAATCGCTAATTTCTGCAAAATCGACCGTACACTGCTTCTTTCCGATGAGCTTCTTCTTAGGATCCTCACGAAGTTACCGGATTCTCAGCGGAACTCTAACTTTCTTGTCTGCAAGCGGTGGCTGAATCTGCAGGGTCGTATTGTACGGTCGCTCAGGGTAATGGATTTGAATTTTCTCTTGTCGGGTAGGTTGATTTTGAGGTTTCCGAATCTTAACCGCGTGGATTTAGTCTCTGGATCTTTGATGTGTTCTAGAAATTCTGGTATCTTGTTGAGTAATAGGATTCATTCAATGCATGTTGATTCCTGGTTTTTGCCTATTCCGGGTGTTGGTGAGGAAAATATTCTTGACAATATGGTGATTGATAGAGGGCTGAAAGCATTGGCCGATGGCTGTCCAAATTTGCGCAAATTAGCTTTTATTGGTGGAAGTGAGTTGGGATTGTTGAATGTGGCTGAGGAATGTGAGACTTTGCAAGAACTTGAATTGCACAAGTGTAATGATAATCTGCTGAGAGGAATTGCTGCTTGTGAGAATTTGCAAATTCTGAAGTTGGTTGGAAATGTTGATGGTCTTTATAGTTCTGTGGTTACTGATGTTGGGTTGACTATTTTGGCTCAAGGTTGTAAGCGACTGGTGAAGCTCGAGCTTAACGGTTGCGAGGGAAGTTTCGATGGCATTAAGGCTATTGGACAGTGCTGCCAAATGTTAGAGGAACTGACAATCTGTGATCATAGGATGGACAATGGATGGTTGGCTGGGCTTTCGTATAGCGAAAATTTGAAGACTCTGAGAATTGTGTCATGTAGGAGGATCGATCCAAATCCCGGACCCGATGAATATCTGAGTCCTTGTCCTGCTCTTGAGCGGTTGCATTTGCAGAACTGTCAACTACGGGATAAAAAGAGTGCTAAAGCATTGTTTATTACTTGTAGTGCTGCGAGGGAGATTTTCATCAGTGATTGCTGGGGACTGGCGGATGACTTATTCAGCTTTGCAAGTCATTGCTGGTAAATAATCTCTCCTTACATTTGATAATAATTGAACTTTACGAAAGATTCTGTGGCTTTTAATGGAATTCACTGTTCATATGGATTCAAAAGTGCATGTGAAGCTGCAACTCTGTTGTTTTATATCACTGCTTAGGATTATTTTAGTGCATTTCATGGAGCATCATCTTGCTTGAACTCAATGGAAGTTTTAGAACTGACATGCTTCGATGGAGGCTGTAGAAGTTGTTACTGTTGATGCTGGTGAGACTAACTGAAAGGGGAAAGCCATAGCTAACTATTTAATCTTTTTAGTAATAGTATTATGTTGGAACCTTTTACTGTGCTAGTTTCCTGAATTTTTGCAGAACCTCTTACAGGTTCTTGGTTGATCATTGTTCTTGGGTATCCATTACTTTAGATCCATGAGTCAAAACGCGGGTATTTGAATATCATAGAGAATCGATACTAATCACGGCAGCTCGGGTTCTGGCTCTTGACTGCCCAGTTGAATTGCTTATGGTTTCAATATACCATATCTACATTCCCTCTAGAACTTGATGAATCTAAGAATTGTTTATCCTTTAACTGTTTCCTTATGGCCTCGAAAGAATTCTTAGATCGACACTTGTTTTATGTGAGATTCTACGTTGGTTGGAGAGGGGACTGAAAAATTCCTTATAAGAGTGTGGAAACCTCTCTCTAATAAAAGTGTTCTAAAACTGTGAGGTTAACGACAATACGTAATGGGCCAAAGCAGACAATATCTGCTAGCGGTAGGCTTGGGCTGTTACAAATGGTATCAGAGCTAGAGACTGGGCGGTGTGCCAGCGAGGATGCTGGCTCCTAAGGGGGGGTGGATTGTGATCCTACATCGGTTTGAGAGGGGAGCAAAACATTCCTTATAAGGAGGGGTGGATTGTGAG